GAACAGTGTTCTGTGCCCACTAAGATTGGCAACATCATCCAATCACTTTTCGAAGATGTCTGGACTACAATGGGAGTCAAGGGGATGCCTTCATGTTCCATGACTGGGACGCGTCCGGGAGATCCATTGGCAGATCTCTTGTGGTCAATCGCATTTGGAAGTGTAATCAGGCAGTTAAAGTCTGACTTCCACGAGTTAGACATCGTAGTTCAGCTGGACAGTCGAAGATTTACGTGTCTTCCAGTATGGGCCGATGACCTCTGTGCGTATTAGTGTCACACCCAGATCCGTTCCGATTGATCGAATTGGCAAGTATTGCATGCGGCCGCCTGTCAAAGGCATTCGCAAGCTTGGCCGTTGAACTAAACCTTGGTAAAGGAAAGACCGAAGTGATCTTCAGCTTCCATGGGCTGAACGCCACCAAGGCAAAGCGTCAAGTCGCGATTGACATGGGCAACCATATCCCATTTCAGGACTTTGAAGGCAAAAATCGGTCCGTACATGTTGCCACGACTTACAAGCATCTCGGAGGTATGGTTGGTAGAGCTCACCAATTCCGAACAGAAGTTCGTTCTAGGGCGGGGATTGCAGGAAGTGCCTTTCGTGCCCTACGTAAGCATGTGTTCGCCAACCGAGCCATCTCCACAGAAGACAAGCTGCACATTTATGATGCAATCGTTAGATCTAAATTCTATCATCACGCATCATGTTGGTCATTTTCGACGCAGCAAGAATGGCAAGTGTTCGACACCGCTGCATTCAGACTACTGAGGTCCCTTGCAGTTGTTTTGCATGGATATGAGTGGAAGGAAGCATCCAATGAAAAGATTGTGGCCAAACTAGGAGTTCTGCATCCGAGGCAATTGCTGCGAATTGAAAGGTTGCGGCAATTTCAGAAGATTTGTCAGTTTGCCGATGCAGATTTTTGGGCAATCTTGGATGGTGAATCAAACTGGCTCCATAATATGCTATATTCTGACCTGATCTGGCTTAAAGAGAATCGTCTGTGTCCAGATTGGTTGTGTATTCCTGAGGTCTCACAGATCCAGAGTCTCGTCACAGCGTTGGCTGACAGAGGGACCGAGTGGAAGACGCATCTCAAACAGGTCGGAAAAGCATGCCGTAATTACGCTCATAGACTCCAGGAAGCTCATGAGTTCGAATGCAAAGCACTTATGACGCTGAGACAAATTGGGGTCGCCTCTTTCGAGCAGACACATGGTAATGTGCAGAGAGCAGTCAAGGGTTCCTTTCGTTGCCAATTCTGTGATAAGATTTTTGGCACACTTAAAGCCCTTGGAGTGCACAAGCATAGGCAGCACGAGGTCTTTTCTGCACAGTATTATACTATGCAAAAGGAGACGCATGCCCGGTCTGCTTGAAATATTACGGCAACAGTGAAGCGCTTCAGCAACACACATGCTGGCACATTATTCAGGAAAGTGATCTTAGTCCAGAAGACTTTGGCGGTGACAGAATTGCCAGAGAACTAGAGATTCCGCCGCTAGCTGGGGTGCAATGTGCAGGACCCAAAGCATGGTGGTCTACACTTCGACCTATGATGCATACGGAATCTCCGTGCGGTGAAAATGTTGAAGCTTTCGAGGATGCTGCAATTCATTACCTTCTCAGCCTTGCTCCTGTTGAAGAAGAACTGCATTCATTTTTGGATGGCGTTAAAACCGTAGCATCCTTTTTGCTTCGCACTTTCGGACAAGAATGCCTAAAACAGGAGGGCGCGATCCGCCTGGCAAGTAAGACCATTGCAATATGCTCTCCTGAACATAGAAGATATTTTGGCCGTGTTTGGGATGTCCTGAAAGGATTATGGCAGCAAGTCTCCGCTCCAGCGGAATATCTCGACTGGAATGGGCTCATTTGCGGAAACATAGCGTTTGTTGTTGACTGCAACTTTCGTGCCTTATCCTTGGAGCGAGCCCCCAGACAAAATGTCAAGTATGTGCTTCACTTGTTCAGTGGACGCAGACGCGAAGCAGATATCCAGTATTGGATTGAGGAGCTTGCAAGACAGACGGGTCATTCCGTGATCTGTCTTTCGTTCGACCTAGCAATAGATGAACGATGTGACCTCCTAGATGAGCACGCACAGTCATGGTTGCGGCAGATGATCAAGGCTGGTCGCATCCTTGCACTCATTGCAGGTCCGCCATGTGAAACATGGTCGCGAGCAAGAGGAGTTTGCCTTCCAGAAGAGAGCTGGTCAGCCGAGGGTTCTCCGATCCAGTCAAGAACCTTGGGGGCTGGTTGGTATGAGCCAGCGAGAACATACTCAGTGTCTTGTCGGCTCAAGGCTCCTACAATTCACGATCATCTTAGTGCTTGACTGCATTGCTGCCGCAACAAGCTGCTTGGTTGAGCACCCTGATGAACCATATGACGATGCCAGTTTAGCGTCGATTTGGCGCTTGAGGGTTTTACGTGCAATGCTGGCGCTGCTACCTATGAGAAAGCTCCGAGTCTGGCAGGGACAGTTCGGGGCAAAATCTCCGAAGCCCACAGCATTGATGGTTCACGGCCTTCGAACACTGGAGAATCGTCTTGAAGAACAAAGATCGTTCGAGATGCCTGCAACTCGATCGATAGGCCGCACGGTAGAGGGCACCTTTGCAACTAGTGAGCTGAAAGAGTACCCGCCAAGACTGTGCTTGGGCATAGCGCATGCGGTCGTTGATAGCTTCAAAGAAGCAAGTGCAGGCGGCCCGGATCCCGAGGAGATTGAGCTTGGAGGTGACGCCTTCCTTGAGACCGTCATGCGGCCCGACTTCGGCGGCAGACGGTAGGACACTCCGACCACTCGGGTCGTCGAGAGAGGTTTCACCCCCCCAAAGTGGCAACAAGACAGTGAGTCTGCGAGCCCCCCCAAAAAAATGGCCTCCAACCTAGCGATGGAACATCTTGGAACATGTTGCTCAGCTTTGCCCAAATTTAGGCCTCAAGTGGATGAAGGCGGCAAGTGGGACTCGAAGGCCTGCATTGCAAGAAACTCAGCAAGGGGCGAGAAAGAGACACGATATCGAAATATGCAGATATTGTAGAGTATAGAGATGTATGATTAGGGAGCAAAGCAGCAGCGAGAGGCTTGTTTGATGCGAAGGGCAAGCACCGAGTTAGCAGCTAGCATGAGGTAACTCTTTTCGTGTTACTATATATGTTTCACTACTTGTCAATGTCGACTGTCCGCAACAAGGTGAAAACCAATCTTCAGATGTCACCTCCTCAGCGCTCTTCCGTTGGCAAACTGCTCTCGATGAAGAACCTGAGGATCTCTACCCGGCCACAACCTGGAGACAAAGTGAAGCTCTCGAAGGCATGCTTTGGTATTTTGTCCATAATATTTTGCTGTGTTTTGCCTCAGCGCAGGCCTACAAACAATTTGACGGGGAAGATGGCTGCTTGAAGCCAGGCAGGACAGAGCAAGGTTGTTTTGTCCCTTCCGTGTTTCTCATGATCTGCGTGGGTCTTGTCAGGTCAGATTGGAACGCTCGTGGAAGATGACCGCCTGGGGCTCAACCTTATGTGCTTGAAGCAATGAAGCTCCAAATATGCAGCTCAGGCACATCATGCCCGTTTCTGGTTGAGGGGCCCAATGGCTGCTCCCACTGGTACAATGACGGTGCTCTTGTGGCTGCGGCCTCGGATCAGTCGCAAGCAGGATCAGAAGTGCATAAACGAAAGAGACTCGAATCAGGGTGATAAAAAAAGAGCGGAGCGTGCACTGCAACTTCCCACGCTTGGTGGGAGGGTCGTTCTTGAGTTGCCAGTATCTGGCCCTTTGCATGAGGTTGTGAACAAAGAAGACAAAGAGCTTCTCACATCACTTGGAGACATGCTCCTTGAATCAGCCAATCAGTTTCATTTCCTTTCATTTCCATTTTTGGAGCTGCAAGGTTTGAAGGGGTGGCCTTGCTTCGCTTCCCCGTCTGTCTAGCTCTCGGATAAGGAGAAGGGTTGGGAGCATGTGAGAGGACACACGTGCCACAAGGTGAAGGACACTGGTACTGCGAATTGGAGGTGAGCAAACTCGGAAAGTGCAAGCCTCGGTCCTCACTGCATGACAAGATGTATCATGATGTATCAGGGTTGCTCATATTTGCTTATGACACTGCGGGACTGGATTGCTAACCTTGTATTGGAAAGGTCCCAGCCATGTGTTGGATGGGGCTTGCAGCACCTCTACAGCAAGAAACTTTTGTTTGCTTTGTTGCTGTGACAACCTGCAACAAATACAATATTGTTATACAATGTTTGTCACAAGACTCAGGAAGAAGGGCTCCCCGAAAATCATCCGAATGATGGCCATCGGTGGAAAGAGTGCAGCTTCTAGGCAGCACCCATCCACAGCTTGAATAGCTGACAGATTTTAATTTGCAAACATTGCAGTTGCTTGCATATTGAAAATCTAATTTACGATATTTTTGAGTTATAGTGTGGAACTTGTAGTTTAATCTTGTTGTTCTAAAGCTGCTGAGGTCAAGTTGGATTTGGGCAACTGAGATGCAACAAATCAGCGGGGCACCATGCTCACCCGAAGCCATTTTCAGACAAGGCGAAGGGGCACCGCCCAGAAAGAAGAAAGACAAGAAGGAGGAGAAAGAAAACGCAGAAGAACAAGATGGAAAGGACCCGTTCTGCACACTTCCACACTTTCTACCTTTTTTTCTGACCCTTATGCCAACACAGCTCTTGCGAGGAGGACGAGGACGGTTTTCTGCTTCTGGACAATCAGCTTTACTACAGCCAATTGCACTTTGCATTTTCTTGACACCTCACTTTCCGGATCAAGCTTGAGTGAGATACTGTCAATTTTATGATAATAACAATAGCAATAGGGAGGAGATAGAACCAACATGAACCAACAAAACAAGTGTTTTTGCTGCACTGAACCAACCAGCTTCATGCCATCTCATGCCCATTGGTGCCGAAATCCTGATGGGTTGGCTTTGGGCGACGACCTTTGCAGCTTTAGTTTCAGGCTTGGAGCCCCCCAATGTGCAGAAGGCCTTGGAAGATTTGGTGCGGCCTGGAACTCAAGGGAGCCTGGCACTCAGAGGCTCCAAGCGTTTTCAGGTGACAGCGATTTACAAAAATCACAGCTGCCAGTCCAACTGTGAGGAGCTGATTTTCATGTGCTGCAACAAGTGACTTAGCTGACTTAGCTGTCAGACTACATAGATAGGTAAGTTTGATGATCCATGTGTTTTTATCAGTGAATAACGCTGTTGTCAGCACTATATGTTATATATATATACACACTATGTTTGCGGTCACTTTCCCAAAATAGCAAGTTGCTCAGCTCAAGGAGCTGGAGGCAGCCCACTTCCACGGATACTTGGCGCTGCTATACTTTTTCGGCATAGCCGACTCCAGTGGAAAGCTCGAGTTTCCAACAGGCAGTCACCTCAAACTCTCTCTCTCTCTCTCTCTTTGTCTTGATGTTTTGGCGTGATGGCCAGTGTTCATTGTTCGCAGTCTTTTGAACCCACATTCTGCTGACTTGCAAACTCCAGGCTTTCCAAGAGATGTTCGGAAAGGCAGGGAACATTTGGCCAAGGCGGTTTCCAAACGGAGAATTTCGACCCAAGATCCTTGGACCTTCACCTTGCTGGGATTTCTTCTCTCAATTGAGAGTCCATATGTGGCACAGATCGAATTGAAGGTCTTAGAGGGTCCGGAGGTTGTGATAAAGAATCCTGAAAGCATCCTGAATGACAACAATCCACGCAAAGACAGACAACGCCAGGGTCTCTCTATGCTAGACAGAGTGGGCGCCGCATTTTGGGAAGCTGCTGAACGAAAAGAACTCATAGGCAGCATAGTTTTTGCTTCTATGGTACGACGTGGTCTGACAGACGTTCCACTATCGTGGCAAGTTCGCAAAGAAAACGAGCCTTTGCTTGGCCGGAGTCCTGACCTCCTGATTCCAAAACGAGCCCTTGCGTCTGAGCGTGCTTGCCGCGCACTTGGGGTCTTGATTGGGCCTGCAACTGAAGCATCAAAGAACGAAGAACCATTGCTAGACAAACAAGCGCTCAACTGGAAGGCGGACACTTTGCAGTGCAGTGTGTGAACGTTTTCGACATGTGTAATCACACGCATGACTCACGTGATACTGATACTGAAGCAAATCGAACATCCACATGGTCCATATATAATCATGAATCATAAAGAGATATAGCCCCTGACAGGTATGGCGTCATCGGCAACAGCGTCCAAGCGACGACGACTGGCAAACCACCAAAGAATATGTTGACGCTATCAAGCATGGAGCCGATGTCATGAAAGAGGCAAGTAGCATGCGGGAACTAGCAGCCGTTCATTTCCAGGGGCATACTGAGGCTGAGGTTCAACCAAACAAAACGCTGGCTGAGAGCTACTGGAGCAAAGCAGCCAAAGAAGGTGACTTATGGTCCGCTTGGCATGCAACTTTGAGCTATATTCGAGATGGGAATATGGACGAAGCTGTCCCATACCTGGACATTGTCAGCAATTCGAGCTTGATGCCATTGAAGTTCATGGCTCTCCATTTCAAGTACAGATTGGGGATAGGTGAAGTGAAAGATCCAAAGATGGCAGGCAATTTCCTGAAAGCTTCGGCAGATCTGGGCAATTCAAACGCTCAACTGCTTCTTGCCCATAGCTACATGGGCTTCAAGCAAGGGAATATGGAGGGCGTGGAGCCACCAGGTGGTCCGAACAAAGCGGCTGCTCTGACTTACTACAAGGCTGCTGCAGCAAATGGCCGCTTGGTCCCCAAACTCAATGCAGGATTGCTCATTGCACAAGGTGCCGACTTCTCTGTGACAGATCGCGATCTGCAATGCGCCATTGCATATAAAGAGCTTGCAGAGGTAATTTATGCAGCCTATCCTCCTGCACACCTACTCTTTGCTCATGCAAGAAGAGCCTTTGTTCTCGGAGATGTGGAGGGAAGTCGCTTGCGTTTCGCACTGCTGAGTGACGCCGGATTCATTCTTGGACATTTGAATGCTGCTTGGTTGTGGGATCAAGACTCAATTCCGCAGGTCCCTTTCTGGGACCGCTACAGATTCCACCCGATGTCAAAGGAGGCATTCTTATACTATCGGCGAGCCGCTGTCTCCGGTCATACCCCGTCAATGACAGAGCTCTCGCTTAGACTACGCAGACACGCCGAGAGCATGAAGTTGGTCTCGAAAGAGCTTCATTCACAGCAAGGTTCGTATGAGACTCTCATGCAAAGTTCGTACCGTTGGACTGCCCTTGCTGCTGAGCTTGGTGAGGCCAGAGCTATTTTTGACCAAGCTTACATGCTCCAGTTTGGCCTGGGAATAAAGAAAAACAAAGTATTGGCGCAAAAACTCTACAACCAGCTGGCAAAGGGTGACACTCACAGCTGGCCTGCCAGAATAGCTGCTCTAAGTTGGCTCGGGCTCAATTCTGCTAGGGACTACTTCCTAGGCCTTCGTGAAGCTGTGGCACCACTCCTGGACAGTCTGAGGGGCTCCTTCGCAGCGGCTGCAAGATCTAGCTTGGAGAACACAGGATTTTCTCAGCAAGAGCATAGTGCAAACAAGCAGCCCCTTCGGAATGCTTGTGTTTTCGCGAAGGGTGCAGAAGGATTCTTGCTGTAACATAGGTGCCTTTCCAGTTCATTCATACTATAGAAACATCCAAAACCCAAATTATGCTTTTCTAATTGTTGCAGTCCTTGGAGACATTCATGAAAATACCCACCAGCAAAGTACAGCAAGCGTAACCGCCGAGCTTGGGAAACAGCAGAGCAACCACACGTTATTTTGTGGTGTACCTCTGCCACGCAGACAGATAGGGAGTGCCTCAAAATGAGATAGGTATACTGCATGTACAGTACATTGTCTCTTTTTGCAGGCCTGGGATTAGAACACGAACTCAGCAACAGAATCGTGAGAATTAAGCTTGCATAGGAACAAGAATGTGATGAGCAGCAGCAGCAGAAGTGCAATGATTGCAATTTTCTGTTGTAAGATTTGCCGGGGCGGGATAGTAGACGTGCTTAATCGTGCTTACACAAGGACTGAATCAAAAAGAAGTAAGAAAGACTAGCACGGCCACGGAGAGAACAAACTCGAAAAGATACCACTGGCTGCCGATCCTTCTCGTAGCGTGACTGTCTCTCTAAAAGGTGGCAGGGCTGTTGCGCTGGAGATGGCTGCTTTGTTGCTTGGAACTTTGTGGGACATTCTTGCGTGGGAGTGTATGAAACGCAATTCAATGAAATGCAACTCCAGGAGGAGTGGCTCTGTTTGCAAAGATGCTGCCTATTGCATACAGTATCATACAATACTTTGTTCGACAATGGACACGCATTCCATGTGACAGCTAAGGAGAGCATGCTGAGTTCACAACAAAGGGCCGTCTCATTTTTGTGCGTTGCAAGATGGCAGTCTAGCCAAGCAGATGTTCAATGAAGCTCAGTTCCAACGGCTGGGCTTTTTGGCGCACTTTTCAAGTGCTACTGCTCAGTAGATTCAAAGGAGCAGTCTTGCTATTGAGCATCGTGGAGCTGGTGTACTGTAGAATCTATTATATAGAATCTTCTAGGACACATCACCACCCAGCACCTGTGAGACCAAGAATGGTGAAGCTGTTGAAGGCGATAGGTGCTCCAGACCATGGCCCTTGGTGAAGGTGCTAGTCGGCCAAGAAAGATGAACGAGGTAGTGTCGGTAGTGTCTCTGCGAGTGTCTCTTGGAGCGATGAACACGGAGAAGAGCAAGTGCAGAGACAGAGACTGACGGCGTTGAGACCAGCAAAGACCTTCGATTCTTCGCTGGGACTCAGGCTGAAGGATACAAAAGTTAACCGGCTTGCAGTACGTTGTGCATTGTGATGTTTTATTCGGTATAGCACTCAGGCAAAGCGTGCCTGTCTTTCAGGCAGAGAATGGACAGGCTGAAGCTGCTGAAGCCGAGGGTGAAACTGCCAAGGCTGAAGCCGAAGGCGAGGCCGAGGGTGAAGCTGCTGAAGCTGATGGCGCCAATGGCGAAGCCGAGGATTGGGAACAACATGGCACCAATTGCAATAGGAAGTGCTAAGTGTACTTGTTACTTGTCGATTTAAGCTCTTCGAGGAAAGTAAATCCAAGGAGGAAGCCCAAGGCAAATGACCGCCACACAGACACACGACACAAACAGTTGAACACTTCTACTTTCAATATTATCGATGCAGATTTCTTTGTCCCTATGTGGTTCTAAGTTCTTTTTGCAGGCGATGCTGAGGAGGTGCCACTGTGGTGTTCAGTTTGACAAGCTCTTTGAACACATGCACGAAACAGGACAAAGCTGCAGCTGAGGTTGACCAAGAAGGCGCAGCGCAATCACAGGAACGGATACCACATCACTTGGTTCAAGTGTTTCGTCGCAAGGCACACGAACACGTGCGAGAAAATGCTGGTTAAGCAATGTTAAGCATCACCTTTAGCCCTTTACTGTAGCATCCTTTAAGGCATTATTATGCATTGTTTGCATTGTTGTTGACCAAAAGGTAGTCCACTGTGTCGACTCGACTGAATCAAGAGACATGCCTGTACTAAAAAACGCTTATGTTTTCAATCCCACCTCTTCTTTTCTGGAACATGGGCCTGGTAGGAGTTTCGCGAAGTGGATTCGACTCGCACAGTTTGCAGAACTGAGCCTAGTGATCGGACAATCTGACCACACAGGGGGCCACGCGAAATCTCAGGACCCAGTCGACCCAGCTGACCCAGTTGACGCCGACGAACCGCCGCCACCACCACCACCACCATGATGACGACGACAACAACAACAACTACTACTACTACTGCTACTACAACAACTACTACCACTGCCACTACCACTACCACTACCCCACTTCCATCACACAAAGTCAATCGGGCGAACTGAATCAACTGGGTTCAACCGGGTCAATTGATCAACCGGGACACCCTGTTCAACTGGGCCCTAACTGGGCCAAATTGGGTCAACCGGGACAGCACATTTACCGGCCCCTACGCCGACGCACTCAATTTGTGTGTGAACTTTGGAGGCGGAGAGAAGACAGAAGAGGCTGGGAGCGGTCAGCAACAAGTAGTAGCGTCCTTGCTCCTAGTAGCGATGCCCTTGCTCCTAGTAGTGTGCTTGTTGCTAGTGTATTCGCTTGAAATAGGGTGCTCATGTCAGACACATGTGATATCTCTTCTCTCTACTAAAAATCTTCTGGACTGAGAATGAGGTAAGCGTATGACATCATTGAAAGACAGTGCTTCTTCATCACTACGTTGGATCGTTGGCTCATCAATGAAACTGGCTTAACTTTTTTTTTGAGAGCTTGTCTGGGCCTAGCCTTGGCTCATGATTTCTCTGCTAGCTCAACCTTGGGATAGACCCCGTTGAATTGAACGAATTGTCTCGAATTGTAGGTTTCCTTGAATCGTCGGGTGGAGTGTGAGGCTAAATCAGATTGGGGGAGTTTGCAGACGCAAATTTTATGACGCAAATGAACTCGTAATTATGGCAAGCGCGAAGCCTAGGAACGTGCTTTGCGGGATGGTTTCGGGATGCGCAAAAGTTGGGGAAAAGAGTTCAACGGATGATTCGCTCATGTTTGCCCACAAGGCAACACTGTAAGACGTTTCAACTGCTCGCAATTCCCTGCAATCCACAAAATTGCCACAGATCCAGGCAAGTGAACAAGAGCAAGAACATGTAAACAAATGATTTGAGATTTGACACGATCGCAAAAGTCACCACGAACAGCCACCAGAAATTACGGGCAATCGCCACGCCTTGTCTGCGTCTGAAACTCTCGTCCTCGGCCCTTGTCCCAGCCTTGGCCTGTAGTTGGAAGTTGACTGCTGAATATGTCCTCTTATCTTCTCATTTATCTATCTCTTTATTCTAGGTTATTATCGATGGTTCTGGGGTGTTGCAAAGCTTGCACCGAGCACATGAACATGCTAATTTGCACGTGACTCCAGGCAGGAGAGAAGGCTGAAGGCGAAGAAGGCGTGCCGATTTGTGAGAACGCGCTTGTCCTTTCAATCTTCATGTGCTCAGGTTTTGTCATATCCGACTTCCTACGCTTCTCATATGAGTGGGAAGAGCAGAAATTATGAACATGTTGAACATCTCAGAAGCAAAGACTCGATTGGAAACATGCGCCACCTCCAAAGCAAAATCCACGAGGTTTGGTTTGACTATATGGCATGGGAATAGCAAGGTTACCAGTGGAAACAAGATTTGACTTGATGCACGCCTCCTACATCATGTCGAAAGAAACACCGCCTTTATTTCTACCGGCAAATGGAACAAGAAATCCGGTTGCTTGCACACTCTTTGCTTGGCAGGTGGCCAAGATGAAAAGGACCAATGCTAAAGTTTTGATGTGAGTGGTACCGGAACAAAGGTTACCAAGTCGAGCCACTTGGATCCAGGAAGAAGAAGGAGATGGTGAAAAGAAAGAAGGCAACAGTATGGACAAGCTGTCTTCTCAGTTTGAAATGCGACTCTGTCCTTTAGAAAACAATAAAAATACCCTAAACCACTCTACAGTAAACTACTGTACTGTAATTCCGAATGCTGTTTCAAGCTGGCCTACGATGCTCTAAACTCTCACTTGCTACTATCATTGCACATCACATCGCAACACATTTGCTCCTTTGGACTGGCTGATGGCAGAAGGGTTGCTGCTTGTTGGAATTGACAACTACGTGGCTACCTACACAATCAGGCAAAAAAGGATGTATATATATATATGTATATAGGTAACCACGTAGTCAAGTCGGGCAAGTGGCTGAACAAGAAGAGTGTTGCTCAACAGGGCTGAAAGCAGATTGAGACAAATTACGTCCCTGGCAGCGGCATGAATACTAAGCTTACCAGCAATGCTAAAAATCACCCGAGGCCCGAGCAAACAGCTGTTTTTTTCAACATGTTTCTTTTTGCATGATTTAATAACTCTTAAGTAATGGGGCATGATCGAGGTGAAAGACCGGTGATCAATAACCGGTTTGAAGATAGCAAGTCCCTCTACCACACGTCACCATGCGGACGCATCGAACATGCACGGGGATGCACGGAGTTCAGGAAGAGTCCGGGAAACATTGTTACTAGTAGCGATGCCAGGATCCCCTAGTAGCGTCCTTTCTCCTAGTAGTAAGGCCAGGAGCCCCTAGTAGCTTTAGAGTCCGGGAAGAGATCATTTTTCCACATGTGGCAAAGGTAGGGCATGAGCATCGAGTGGTCTCTGAAGCCCTTTGAAGGCTCATGGAGTGCTGAAACGGACACGTTCAGGGAAATACTATGAAATACTGACCCACGTTTTGGTGGGAAGCCTTTCAAGGGGCGATGGGCTTCCAGGGGGTTTGCAGGCGTCCCACCAAAACTTGCTATGATCCCGTTTAAAATATACATTGCTACTAATTAGGGTGGAAGCCATCGCTCTGAGGTTGGAGGCCATCACTAGTAGGTTGGTGGTCATCGGTACTAGGGTGGAGGCCACCGCTACTAGGGTGGATACATTATCTCATTGCCGGTTCGTCAGCATCATTGACTTCAGTTCATCGAAGCATGAAGTTGGTACCCATCTTTGCTGTCACATCATTGTCATTGTAGCAGCATTGTTATCGGAAGATCATGTACCTAAATCGGGGTGGGGAGTGCGTGGACAACATCGTATATTGACAATGGATTTCGGCCAAGCGCGGCCACGCTCAGGGCTCCAGCTTGTTTGGTTCGCAGACACTGGTTAGAGAATTAGATTCAGATTGGCTGAAACTAGCGCTTTCTAGAGGTTTGAAATTTAAACACCGAACACGGTTGCAGGCAAGAGTTTTGGCACCTGTGGTTCTATCTCCAGGAAGTCTTTAAATTGACCTTTGCAGACACGAACGAAACAAATGAACTGGGTGGACAGGGCATGTAGGCTGGTCATCTGGTTTGCCAGGACACTAAACGCTTAAGGCAACACCTTCTAGGCTTGCCAGGGCAATAAATGTTTAAGACCCTTCATTACCAACAGGACACCACACTGTCGCGAAATCATATTTTTCAAAAGGCCACACATTGCCACCCCTTAGCGGAGAAACGTTTGTTGAACACTTGGACAAGTTATGTTTTTGCGGCTTTCGTTTCGCACACATTTCACACAAACATGCCTAGTGTTTTTTCGTTCGAAGGCACAGGCACGCCCTCTGAAAAGGTGTGCAACCAAATTTTGTTGCGCCAATCTGCACCAAAAGGAGTCGTAAAAATGACATCAGTAGCGGCTTTGCAAGAAACCCTGGCTTACAGCCTCACCCTGTGAAACATTCGAGGTTGTCCAACCACAACAATTTTCTACCATAGTATGGATGATGCTTGTGATATTATGTCATTATGTAATCGTTCTTGCATGTGCACAAATGGTACACTGTTAGACGCTTCGAAGGGCCTTTGTTCAGATATGTGTAAAAGTCATCCGAAAAGTTTGAAAAGGAAAGCTTCGCTTTTCCCGCTGAAAGATGCACCCGGGAGTAAAGCCCTCCTGAATCGGTGCCAGGCGAGGAGGGCGAGGAGGCGAATTTCGCACCGAATGTCTACTTCCTTTGAGTAAAGGGTCGGTCCTTCTTCTGTTGGAGAACTGCCCAGGAAGAGGAAGAGTTCAGCGAAGAAGGGCAATGGAAGTATGGAGAGTTATAACCCTAGCAAATGAAGCTCGTGTGAGTTGCCATCACCAGTGGATGAAGCGGAAACCACATCAAAGCAGTATCTACCCTTGCTCTTGAGGTCGTTTGGTTCCGCATGGAAAGAGGGTGACGTGATAGGAGTCCTATTCAGCTCCAAGGACCTGAATTTGATTGAATTTGTATCCGCAAATTGTTCAGAGGATTTGATCTCTTTGAGCTGACAGGATGGTACATGGAAGATGTCTTTCTCATTGAATGGGTCCTTCACTGCACCTATGGGGGAGGTGGGAAAGTACATCGAGCACAAGTCTTGTGGCGAGGAACTCATCTTTCAACCAATGCCAGGCCTTCTCGATGGACATCGTAGAGGCAATTAAACTTGGGAAGAGTTGTCCTGCAGAGAGTGGTCTCTGATAGGTCATAGGCATACAGTTGTTTAAAGTATAAAGGCACATTGTGCCTTTGTACACCGTGAATTGCTTATGTATACCGTATATATAATTATATATGTTTATTATGCTATGCTACATAGCCTTTGCACTCACACAGGACTCTGCTCTAGCAATGCTGGTCGCTGCTGGTGATGAAGGCTTGGAGTGTACCAAAGTAGTAGAAGCTCATAGAAGCTACATAGTTGAATGTCAGGCATAAGACATACCCACACACCCAGTTCTATAGCTGCAAGTCAAATCGATTGAAGGTCTTCCAAAAGAAAGAGAAAGTAGAAGATGATACAAGAACAGTTTTGCCAGCTTCCCTTCAGTGGCTTTGTTTCACGTTGGCAATTTGTGATGTTTTATTGATTCCACCACTATCCAAAGAAAGATTTCTGCTTGTTCCGCAGGTGAGATCGAAGTAAACCTGGGGCAGCGCCTCTTTCAAACATCACCCAAACTAGAGCTTTGGCCAGTACAGTGTCGTGGGTTGGAAGACAGTTGGTACAGTAAGGATTTTTCCTTCCGAGAGCTGTGTGCTTAAGGAAGATGAGGCTGAGGTAGTGCGAGGGCTTGGAGAGGCAGGCGTCATGTTTCATGATTGATCATGCTTTGCAGGAAAATACAAGTGAACGCTTTGAAAAGGCCTTTGGTGGACTCAAGTACATTTTGCCACCAGAAGCAATAGTGCAGTTCTCTAAAATAAAAACAAGCTCACGTTCTTTTTGGTAGCAAGGCATGAGCTTCCTTTCTTCTTTTCCTTTGTGGAGCCCTTCGAAGGCCATGAAAATGCGGCCAGCCTGGAAGGTTCAGCTTCCCAAGGGGGTCAAGGCACTGCGCTTTGCTGGGTTTATAGCAGAGCGAAGTAAACTGGATGGCCCCGCCGGTTTGAAGACGTTTGAAGACATGTTCGAACCAAGGACCACCTGCACTCAGGTGGCCAAGTAAAGACCTTTTATGTAAAGACTCAAAGACCCTGTACTTTTTAAAACTGAAAACCGTTTCACGTTCAGGTGTTTGTCATTTACCAGTCGGTTTTGTCTACCCTATTTTTGAGTCAGCCTCGCAGATTCCTAGTTTAAGCTGTCACGACCACTACATCCCACGGCCGCACACACATTAAGCTATTTTGCGCCTGCGAAACGTCTAGGCATGGCCAGTCTTCGAGGAACCATCGAGGACGTCAAAGGGCCGCAAACCTTTGGAGGAGCATCAAGCTTCAAACACATAAGTTCTAGAGCTGTTGAAGGAGATGCTTCAATCGAATTCATAATCCCAAAACCATATGACTATCATCGAATGACCATACAGAGCCAAGCTGTTCATTCAAAGTTTGGCAGGACAAAGCTGAAGTTGATCAGTTGCATTCCACGTCCGACAATTGGGTTCAACTAATGGAAGGCCACCGCCTAGCTGTTTGCTCAGCGTCAGTTCAATGGAAGAGTTTGACAATACGACGGTCTGAATGTAGAATGGCCAGGCTGGGTGCAAACCCGCATGCTGGTGGCTGGAACTGAATATGAAGGCCTGAAGTGAATCACTCAGGATGTGTGAGACTTTCCCAGAACAATTGTACCACAAGATGGGGAACTATGAACAAGTGTGCTCGTGTGACGAGGGACATATGAAAATGGTGGCCTTCTGAGGTTGCGGCCACCGTGGAGCCCCGTTGATCCACCCCGAAAGAAGAAGGAAGCACGTGCCCACCTCACAAACATTTGCATTCGATGCGATTCGCTGCCTGTTTTGTCACACGTAAAGACAGTTATACCATGTTATACTGTACCATTTTCTGTTCCTTTCTTGCTTGACAGTCCCTCTCGCGGGTCAGAGTTCAAGGCGAGTGCACGGCTACTTGAATAGCCAGCCGAGGAAAGAAGCGGCAGCAGACAGTCTACGCCACTTTCGACACCGAGTCTGAACCCAAAGTGTGAGTCATCACTCACAACGTGCTTATGAAAGTGCCTGTAGACATGAATCCATCTCAGTGCAATCTTCACTAGTTATCGCTCAACGGATACACTCCAGCAAATGCTCAAGCTTGGTCCCTGATTCAATGGCCGGATGACCAGTAAGATCATCAAGAGTGGGGGTGGAAGCTTAAGCAGCTAAAAGTTGAACAACCGCAATAAACTGGTTACCACAATGATTGATTGACATAGTAGGCCGGACATGGCTGAACAACATCTTCATGTACGCCAGATTGATGTGAGCCGCATTCCTTCGGCCACTCATATGCACTTCTCAAGCCGCAAATGGCAAAGGACCACTCTGTTACTTCGACCCAGCATGTGTTCAAAGCATGCCACCTTGTGATCCGAGCCATGTCGTCACCGCACAGCACACTTAGCAGTCGTTTGCGTATAGCTTGGATCGCAGATCCCAAAAAGACGCTTGGACATTGGAAGCAAGAACAGGGACAGCTTCCAATTCACCCTGATGACAGGTATATATATATATACAGTTATGGCGCAAACTCTGACTGGAATATTGAGAGAAAACAGAGATGAAAAGGGAACCCAAGCTTCCTCATGTTCTAGTCTCTCAATCTGGCAAGGTTTGGTACAAAGCCTGGATATCCAAAGCCCAGCCTGCGGGATCGTTTGCAGCGCGAGGCTTTTCGTCGAGAGTGCCTGCAGAACTGTCAGAGTTTCAGCTTCATCATCCCTAGTAGCTTCTTGCTCCTAGTAGCAAGGCCAGGAGCCCCTTGTAGCTTCCTTGCTCCTGGTAGTAAGGCCAGGACCCCCTAGTAGCTTCTTCCTCCTAGTAGCAATGCTAGTAGCTTCTTCTTCCTGGTAGTAAGGCCAGGACGCCCTGATAGCTAGCTTCCATTTGCTACTTATTAGTAGCTTGCTTAAGACTACTCTTACTTATGGCCTACACCGCGCCTCTTAACAAGAATAAACAAGTTGGTGTTTCAATTGTCTCTTAATTGCTTAGCAAACTTTGCTCGGACCAAGTCAAGTGATCGCTTGGAGGGTGGCTTCTCCTTTGTCCGCCTTACGGCTGCGGAAGTCAAGAAGGCCCGCGAATAGAATTGTTCGTGTCTTTTTCCTGAGCCTGTTCCAAACAACATAGACAGTGCAAATATTATAGTGCTACAGTACGCATTCTAACATCATGAGTTTGATTGAACTGTAAGTTGTAACCATGAGAGCAGTTGCAATCTCATGGAAACTATAAAATATGTGCATCCACTGCTTTCTGCAACTTTTGCTGCTTGGCCAGCTGCAGGGAGCGCTGCAGACGGGAAATTATGACATCTTCATTGTCCCTGGTGGCTATGCTCCAAACTATGCAGACACTCGGAACACTTTAGGATTCAATGAGATTCAATGGTTCTACTGATGCGACGCATATACCTTCTCTTTTTCCCCACATTGTTGTGTGGGGTTCTTGTATTTTTGGCTGCACCTCCTACCTCCTTCCTTCCTTCCTTCCTTCCTTCCTTCCTTCCTTCCTTGCCCCTCGGTCCTCCTCCTCCACTCCACACACAACCCTCCTACACAACATCTCACACACAACCTCACAACATGTCACACACCTCCTCCTCCACTCCACACACAACCCTCCTACACAACATCTCACACACAATCTCACAACATGTCACACACAACATCTCACACACACACAACATGTCACACACAACATCTCACACACAACAAGACATCATCTCACACACAACTAACAGAACCTCTCACACAACACAACATCACAAGACAACCTCTGACACACAACCTCACATCATCTCACACACAACGAACAGAACCTCTGCAAAACACATCATCTCACACACAACTTCTCACACACATCTCACAACACAACATCACAATACAACCTCTCGCACACAACCTCTCCAACACATCATCTCACACACAACTTCTCACACACATCACACAACACAACATCACAATACGACCTCTCACACACAACCTCTCCAACACATCATCTCACACACAACTTATCAAAGACATCACACAACACAACATCACAATACAACCTCTCACACACAACCTCACATACATCTCTCACACACAACCGCCGCTGTGTGCGGCCCTTGCTGCTTGCCAAGG